AACGACCCCATAAGCTCACCACAATCCCCGCAAGCTCGGTCCCAGCAGCTGTGGAATTTGAGAGCAGCGTTCTCTTTTCGATATATATATATATATATATGCTACCCCCCCCCCCCTAGCGCCTAGGTTTTACTTAAACAAGAGGGTGTTTTTCGTAGGATTTACTGAAAAACGTGTTTTTTTTGAATCGCATGAACGGAATGGAGGATACTGCCCAACACATAGGCGACAGACGCAGCAAGCAGTGCAACACAGCGTGCGACGGAATCATGTTACACGTGTTTTTGCTTCTGTGCTAGAAAAGACAGGCCTGTAATTAAACTTGTTCATACACTACATTAATTAAAACATAATGCGTAATAGGGAACCTGACCTAGTGGCTTCACTTAAGCAATCATTGAATGAGCTAAAACATGTTCCTTCTTCTTTTCGTGAACAAGCACAGTACTCAATTTAACTAAAATTTTTCGTTTCTGGAAATAACATACGTACAGTCTTTCCAACAGTTTGATTAGTCTTCTGAAGGTGTTTTTGCTTCAGTGCTAGAAAAGACAGGCCTGTAATTAAACTTGTTCATACACTACATTAATTAAAACATAATGCGTAATAGGGAACCTGACCTAATGGCTTCACTTAAGCATTCATTGAATGAGCTAAAACATGTTCCTTCTTCTTTTCGTGAACAGGCACAGTACTTAATTTAACTAAAGTTTTTCGTTTCTGAAAAATAACATACGTAAAGTCTTTCCAACAATTTGATTAGTCTTTTGAAGGGTTAAGTAAATAAATTGAGTTCGTAGACCAATAATTAACTAAAGGAATTCAATGAACTAAACTTACTAAGAACAGTAACTACGGCCTTTTGTTTGCTGATATTAATGTAGTCAAAATCATTTCAATTGTGGATTTAGTTTACTTAAAGGTGAAGCAAATGAATGAAACTAATTAGTATACCCTTAACTAAACGAATTCGATAATTTAAATTAAACAAGCCACGATCCTTAACAGCAATTCAATTGGTTCAGCCTGACTAGATTAATTACTTTAAACGAATACTTTAATAGGCCTTCCCAAGAGAAAACTACATTTAGTTTCTTATTCTAAGAGGTAGATAGCATTCAACTAACTAAATGTCTATCCTTTTTTTACTTCAACCTCAACCAGACTAAATGAATGACAGTTGTAAAGCAAATTAGATTAATTAAAGCCTACTTATCAGGAAACTTGACCTCGTCGCGTCATTTAGGCATTACATCGATCAGATAAAAAATGTTACTTACATCACAGTTTTTAACAAAGAGTTGAATTAGCTTTATTGCTGCTGAACTGTGCTCTCTGAACAAACAAAAACCAATTCTGGAGGCCTATAATTACAAGGCAGACCGTCACGAAAAGATTGGTTTTTTAGGGACAGTACAGCACTTTGGGGATCTGAAGGGCTGAAAGTGCTGTACTGTCCCTAACAAAGCAATCCCAGAAGCGGAAAACGCTGTACTGTCCCTAAAAAACCTAAAAAACCAATTCTGGGGACCTGTACAGGCAGCCCCTCTTCAAAAGATTGGTTTTTTAGGGACAGCACAGCACTTTCAGCACCTCAGACCCTCAAAGTGCTGTACTGTCCCTAAAAAACCAATCCCATAAACATAAAGTGCCGTACTGTCCCTAAAAAGCCTAAAAAACCAATTCTGGAGGCCTATACAGGTAGACCCTCACGAAAAGATTGGTTTTTTAGGGACAGTACAGCACTTTCAGCACCTCAGGCCTTCAAAGTGCCGTACTGTCCCTAAAAAACCAATCCCAGAAGCAGAAAGTGCCGTACTGTCCCTAAAAAACCTAAAAAACCAATTCTGGAGACCTATACAGGTAGACAATCACGAAAAGATTGGTTTTTTAGGGACAGTACAGCACTTTCAGCACCTCAGGCCTTCAAAGTGCCGCACTGTCCCTAAAAAACCAATCCCAGAAGCAGAAAGTGCCGTACTGTCCCTAAAAAACCTAAAAAACCAATTCTGGAGGCCTATACAGGTAGACCCTCACGAAAAGATTGGTTTTTTAGGGACAGTACAGCACTTTCAGCACCTCAGGCCTTCAAAGTGCCGTACTGTCCCTAAAAAACCAATCTTTGGAAGAGGGCCTGTCTGTATAGGCCACCAGAATTGGTTTTTTAGGTTTTTTAGGGACAGTACAGCACTTTCTGCTTCTGGGATTGGTTTTTTAGGGACAGTACAGCACTTTCAGGACCTCAGGCCTTCGAAGTGCCGTACTGTCCCTAAAAAACGAATCTTTTGAGGAGGGCCTGTCTTGATAGGCCTCCAGAATTGGTTTTTTAGGTTTTTTAGGGACAGTACAGCACTTTCAGCTTCTGGGATTGGTTTTTTAGGGACTGTACAGCACTTTCACTCCTAAACCCTAAACCCTACAAGAGGCAAGTCATCTGAGGCCGGTACCTGAGACAGGGAAGAAAATGAGACCTAGGTACTTGGGGGGGGGGGGGGTACCATATATATATATATATACACCTATTTATCTATCTATCTATCTATCTATCTATCTATCTATCTATAAACAAATAAATAAATACAAAATTAAAATATACAAAAATATACATATGTGTATGTATTTGTTTATCATGTATTTGTACTCATTGTCATTCTCACCATCATGCGCTGCTATTTCTAATTCTAGGCCCTCCGACCAATCGAGCTCCGTCCCCCCCACGTGGCCCCGTCTTCTTCGCGAGGCAGTTCGAGGAGCTGCGCACGGGCCAGCAGAGGCAGATGAACGCCCTGCTTGCCATCATGCGGAAGCTGGATGCAGCCTGGCTGCAGCTGTGTTTCGGGGGGGTTTAGGGGGGTTTGTAGGGGGGGTTTAGGGGGGGGTTTAGGGTGGGTTTGGGGGGTTCATATGCTTACAGTCCTGCAAAGCTTCCTTTGCGGCAGTGTTGCAGGTAGTAGCAATGCCGGTTTTTCATCCGAGTAGTTCAGTGAAGAGACCGTCAAGTTGTTTGGTTGCGGGGGCTTTCAGAGAGAACCTGCGCTCTTCAACTGGAGAATTGCGCGGCTCGCGCAGAGAGATTTCGCAACTCATCGGGCTCTTGATAGGCCTGAAAGGCACCCACAAGTCTATGGCCTCTGAAAACGTCATGTTTTCTATTTACTCGAATGGCGCCACGTTGCGCCTTGCGCCTCAACATGCGGAGTTCTTTTCATTCAAAAAATTGTTCTTGGCTTCTCTCCTCTTCAATGAGTTTCAACTCCTTATTCCTGTTATTTGCTATTGCTCATCCGACCAACGGCTGCCCAGGTGATCGAATCCAAGGTCGAGGCCGTTCCCCGCAAGATCATGGAGGCGGCGATTCGTGCATCTGAAGCGGCCTTTCGCTTTGTCTCCTTTGGCTTGAAAACGTTGGGGCGAAGGCTTTGGAGGGCCAGTTGCCTCAAGGGGCTCTGGTTAGGACTGGGCAGGGCGATGGGGCATTTGGAGTGCAACGCCAGGTCAGCAGGGAGCTGTCACCGAACCCCACGAGGTCTAAGCTTATAGCCGGCATCGCTCGGGTGCCATGTGCGCAAGAGCAGCGGTCTGGGGCCCCGCGACAAAGGGAACCAAGCTCCAAAACGACCAACGAACTGCGGTATGCGCATGTATGCATAGGTCGTATAGGGTTGAAGCTGAGCTTTTTTGGTGGTGCTTTCAACCTTTCAGTTCCTTGAGGGTGGCACCGCAGTTCTGAAGCTTTGGAGCAGACCGCTGTGTTGGAGAAGACGGTGACAATTTATGTCTCAGGGGAAAGCTTTCAAGAGCAGCCTCATATCGATCTTACTGTCTTTTGGCTGTCTTTTGCCAACCTCAAAGCAGTTCGGAGGCCAACTTCCGTTCCTTTGTCTTCGAGTTCGAGAAGTTGGCGGAGGGCATCACTCGGCTCTTCGAGGAGCTTCGCCCTAAGACCACCCAGCAGCCCAGCAGCGCTTCTTATGTGCTGCTACTACTTCCCTACGCTGCACTCCGCGAGATATGCTTGAATGAGCTTTGAGCCACCCCGCTTTTGCAAACTTGAACCCGGATCTTCTCCCGAGCTCCCAGGCCTTTATTTACCGCAGTTGCCTCTACCCCCCAGCCAGCACAAGGCGTGGGAAAAGCAGGCCCAAAGCACCTGAAACCCAAGGGTAGGGCTCAGGGTACTTAGGCTGACCGAAAGCCACCAAAGCCACTGAAAAATGTTACAACTGGACTACATGGCGCAAGTGAGGCCAGGGGAAGAGCTTCGACACCGACCAGTCACTCCCGAAGCCGTAATCCTAAAAACTCGCAAACTCCAGGAGTATCGCGCAGCCACCTTGCAGCAGCATGCGATGCTCGAGATGGTGAAGGATGTGAAGAGAAGGCCGCTCCCCGTGCTTCATGATTGGGCTTTTTTATGATTCTGATACAGCAGCTGTTTTGCTATGGCTTCACTTCGACGCCCAGAGGGTAGTGGGGTTATTGCCTGACCCAACACAACTCGCACTTCGCCATGACACGCAAGCAGGTATCGGCTATGCGATGTGGGTGCTGCGACGCTGTTTAATGCCAGCAGAGCTGCCAACATCTCTGCCATGGAGGCTCCACAGTCATGCACCGTCCTTGAGGCTTTTGGCTTTTAGGCTTGCGTGGCCGCACCTGTTGCATGCTGTTGCATGCTCATTGGTAGCATCTGTGATCGTGAGAGCTTCTGTTTCGCAGCTGCTGATATACTTGGACTCTCCGCCAAAGCTTCAGCCTTCAGCTACAGGCAAGGAAGACATTGCAGCATGGCGTGCCGGAGGCAATCGCTCGATTCAGCTCTTTGGACGCCGAGAAAAGAGCGTTGAATTTAGCATGTTTAGAGATCTGAACTTCAAGGGCATTGCCCCAAGCCCAACAGTTGAACGAAGAGGGTAACCCGGATACTACTTTTCGCGTAGAGTCCCACAAGAGCCGGTCCCCTACTTCAGGATCGCGTGATCGGCACACTCCCGTAGAGTTCAGTCTTTTGGAGCGCACTCCCGCTCGCGAGGTGAGCTGGCAGCCCTGGCAGCTGACAGCCGCTTCTCGAAGATGCACTTTGAGAACGTGGCCTCCGAGCTGTCCGAGCAGATGATTGCCAAGCCCACCACGATCTCGGGCCTCCTGGCCGTTCCTGAAATCAGGGACTTCATGGCCAAGGACGAGGAGGTGATGTACAAAGACCACGCCGAGGCTTGCAAGGCAGCCTGTGGCTTGCAGCCGCCGAAGCCCGACAGCGCCATGTGCCAGTGCCGGGATGGCCGGCTGCCCCTCCAGAGGCCGTCCTCTGACATTGGGGGGGTTTAGGGTTTAGGGTTTCGGGTTTAGGACTTAGGCTTTAGGGTTTAGGGTGTCTCCGAAATTGGTCGCCTTATTGGGGTCCTTACTATAAGGGAATCCTATGATTTTGGGGATCTATATTTGGGATCATATGGCCCTGCAGAGGCGCCTAAAAAACCCTACGTCAATGTTGCGGCTAGTCACACAGCCCCATAAGCTCGAAGTAAACGGAAACATTGGGTCAACTTCAGCTTGGGAAGCCGCTACAGCAGCTTCTGCCCTATTCCAGAATCTCCAAGATGTATCTCCGTGCAGGGTGATGGGCAAGTACTTCTTCACCGGTCAAGGGGCCCGCTTCTTCAAGAAGCACCTCCTGAATGCAATGGATGAGGCTCGAAGTCTTGAGCCTGTGCTCACTTTCTCTGTCATGGGGGGTCCCCAAAGCCCAAACCCCCCATCACCAGGTTCCTTGGCAGTACACGAAGACCTTGAACAACACCTACATGCAGATTGGGATCATGGTGGATAAGATGAGATCTTGGAGGTGGCTTGGGAATGGCATGTTGTGGGTGCATGAACCCTTCCCCTTTTCTTCCCCACGCGCCACAAAAGTCCTGTCAAGCTCTCCTAAGCCGACCCGGGAAAGAAATCGAAGAGCGCTCCCACAATCTTTTGTAGTGTCCTCTGAGGCTTCGTCTTGAGCCGCACCTCGAGAAGCAGCTGCCCGCTCCGTAACATTGGTGTTCAGGACTTTTGGGGTGTCTTCATGCTTGGCTTTGGCTCGGGGAGATTTGGAGAAGGAAGAAAACCCTGAATGTGAATGGCCCCGTCACCGCGACGAGCTTTGGTGTGCTAGGGCTTCTTCCGGTTTATACGTTGTTAGGTGCAGGGCCAGTGTAGGTCAAAGTTCGAGTTTTGGGTTTGCTTGGGTACACGAGCAACACTCTGGTGAAGAGGGTCCGATCCACGTCGAGGGCCTCCAGACCTTCACGAAGCTCTCGGCCGCGCACCACGCACCACACACCATGCACACATCACACATCACACACACACACACACACACACATCACGGACTATGCACCACGCACCACACATCACGCGCACACCACGTTCATTCACGCACCAGACATCACATGAACACTTTCACGAGCTCGTCTCCACTTCACCACTCACTCACGGCCACGCACTCACTCGCTCGCTCTCTCACTCTTTTATCCTCTATCACTTCTCTACTCTTTATGAATGGAAAACTTTGCATGTGGGGTTATCCGGTCCTTTAAGAAACAAGGAAACTCGAGAACTTTGCTTCTCTGCACCAAGACCGGCAAATGTTGTGAGTATTCCACGCCTTCGGGGCCAGCAGCGTGTAGTCAGAGTCACCATTGCTTGAAGGTTCAGAAGTAACCATGAACCTTAAGTAAACCCTAAACCCTAAACCCGAAACCCGAAACCCTAAACCCTAAACCCTACACCCTAAACCCTAAACCCTAAACCCTAGACCCTACACCCTAAACCCTAAGCCCTAAGCCCGAAACCCTAAACCCGAAACCCGAAACCCGAAACCCTAAACCCTAAACCCCAAACCGAGATTTGGGTCCGGATCGCCCCGCAGTTTCCTGCTTCCTGCGCCCCCTTGGGCCCCAGGAATCCTCCCAGTTGCCTCAGAGGTGTCACGTATTTAGGGTTTAGGGTTCAGGGTTTAGGGTTTAAGGTTTAGGGGTTCAGGGTCTAGGCTTTAGTGTTTAGGGCCAACCCCCGGATACACTAGTAAGAGCCCCGAATGTACTGCCCCCATAAAGAGCAGAAACCATACTGAGAGAGACCACTACCAGCCCGTACGAGGTTTCACGATGACTGGAAGAAGGTGGTCTTTGACATGGAGTCGACGCGGGGATTTTACGACAAGATGAACCAACAGGCATCCTTGACATTTGGGCTCAGGGGTGGCTCTAACATCTAAACCCTAAACCCTAAACCCTCAACCCTAAACCCTAAACCCTAAACCCTAAACCCCTAAACCCCTAAACCCCTAAACCCCCTAAACCCCCTAAACCCCCTAAACCCTAAACCCTAAACCCTAAACCCTGAACCCTAAACCCTAAACCCTAAACCCTAAACCCTAAACCCTAACCCCTAACCCCTAAACCCCTAAACCCCTAAACCCCTAAACCCCTAAACCCCTAAACCCCTAAACCCCTAAACCCCTAAACCCCTAAACCCCTAACCCCCTAACCCCCTAAACCCCTAAACCCCTAAACCCCTAAACCCCTAAACCCCTAAACCCCTAAACCCCTAAACCCCTAAACCCCTAAACCCCTAAAGCCCAAAACTCGAACTCGACGTGAGGCTTTCCCTGGCCTTTGCAGAAGTTGGGGTTCAGGGCTTAGGTAGTTGGGGGTCTACAGTTTTGAAAAATGGAAGGAGCACTACCGGTAATATCTTCCCAAAATCATCACATTCGTTTGAAGGCGCCCGTGAACCTTCAAGCAACTGGCTCCCCAAGCTCCTGCAAGGAGCAGGCTATTGTGGGCACGCTGGACATCACGACCGAAGTGATCGATGAGGCGCGGATGAAGTTTCGCTGAAGAATTCCGAGCGATTCGAAGTTTCCTGCTTGCGCTCTTTTGACAAATTGCACTCTTAACCGTAAAGATTTCAAAGATCGATGCCAGAAACTCCTCCTGTCGACTTGAAGCTGGGGCTCCCCCTAGGAGGGCCCCTCTGGAGTTGATTCCAGGCTCCCCCTCAGGGTTTTAAGCGGAGGTTGACAAGGGTTTAGATTTTACGGTTTTGGGTTCACTGCGTCATGTGGCCGATGGTGTGGGTGTGTGCTCTGTGCGGACCCGGGCCGGGCTGTCCGCAGATTCTGGTACTCATCTAACTATAGGGTGTATCTGTAAGGCTGCAAGAAGAGTAGTAGACTATTCGACACGGCACCTACGCCACGATACGCTGGGCAATGCTTGTAGGAAAAGGACCTCGAGCCGGATATCTGCTTTCAGCCAGCACCAAAACCCTAACCCTAAACCCTAAACCCTAAACCTTCAACCCTCAACCCTAAACCCTAAACCCCGAAACCCTAAACCCTAAAGCCTAAACCCTAAACCCGAAACCCTAAGGAGCTGACGTCCCCCGCCAGGTTGTGCCCTTCTTCGCACCGGCCCCGACCGAATGCCACCAGCCAGCCATGTTGGCCCCTCGGCCCATGTTGCGCTGCGAGCCGACGAGCAGGGTGGTTTAGGGTTTAGGGTTTAGGATTTAGGGTTTAAGGTTTAGGATTTAGGGTTTAGGGTTTAGGGTTTAGGGTTGGGGGTTTGGGGTTTGGGGTTGAGGGTTTGGGGTTGAGGGTTTAGGGTTTAGGGTTCAGGGTTTAGGGCTTCCGGATTTTGTGGGGGGCGTTTGCGGGGGCTCTGTGCTGGCTGAAGACTGTATGCCCACCGTTCTCCAACATCTGCTCCACGGTCTATCATTACTTCGCTTTGTTCTGCATGCTAACACGTTTCCGCAGGGGGAAACATCGTTAGTGCCGTCGTACTCTGAATATAGACCTTCTGCACAGAGAGAGAGAGAGGCCCGCGAGAAGAAGCAGAAGACGAAGAAGAAGAAGAAGAAGAAGAAGAAGAAAAAGAAGAATAAGAAGAAAAAGACGAAGAAGCAGAAGAAGAAGCAGAAGAAGAATAATAAGAAGAAGAAACGGAAGAAGAAAAAGCACCAGAGGTTTCGAGGCTTCTTTTCCCCACAAGTGCCTTCAAGAGACACAGCGCTTGAGTTTGTAGCGCCTCCATAGCTGTTCGTATTATTTATGGGCCGGCCTGGACCACCCCCAAGTGCCCAGTACCCGTGCTGAAGCAACCGTTGGATTTCCGACTCCTCTGGCGAAAGCCAGTGAGCTCATGCATGGGTCTCGAGTATCCAGATTACGACGTGGACCACCCCTTAGTGACCTCAAGCCAGATTTTCCGAGGACTTGGGCGTCTCAAACCTTGCAAGCATGGTGCTCTGGAGCGCGGTCCCTTTGATGGACACAACAACCACCACGACAACAAGGACTGAGAGCACTCCTTTTGGCTGTGATGGTCTAGCTGAAGCATGCTGAAGCCGTAGAGCGTGTTCCTGCTCAGCCCGAAAGAGCCCCTTTTCGCAAAGAGCTACGATATCCTACAGTCTGTCCCGCCGAATACAGGCTCAGCTCTAGGTATCCCTGCCAAGTAGCGCAACCCCCCCCCCCCCAAAAAAAAAAAAGACAACAAAGCTTTTCTTCAGTGCATTCGTTCATGCATTTAAGTCCTTGCATTTTGTCCCTGCACTGACGACCACAGGTTGCAGCAAGTTAAGGTTGAACAGTAGATTTCCGGAGGTCCTCATCGTGTGTTCATTGGGTAGTGTTTGGTATTCCCTGTGCCTGATCTCAACAGAACCACCGTGCCCCTTAATGTGGGTCTTTTGAGCTGTAGGTACGTGTTCTGTCGCGTTAGATCGTGTTCGGGCCCCTATGGGGCCTAGGGATATTTTTACGAGCCATGCCTCCTACTTATTATCCAGCCTGGGAGCCTCTAAATCCAAGCCCTGCCAGTATCGTGGAGGGTGCGAATGCCGGAGCCACGGAAGCAGCACCCTTCAAGGGTCCACCGAACGGATGGGTGATCCTGCCCTCTGCCCGCGAAGTAGCCACAGACCCACGCTGTCTCCATTTCGTCCATGTCTTGCAGCAGGCTCTTCAAGAAGGCTTTCATTCAGGAAATCGGGCCCTGCCAAAAACTGTGCGCACGCAGCCCGAAGCCATAAACCCTAAACCCTTAAATCTTGGGCATGTCCAAGGCATCGTCCTTCGCTGCTGCTTCAGACCTTCACGTTGCTCGGGCTGCCATTTGGGGGTTTTGGGGGTTTGACGTGACCTGTCTTGAGACCATGAGCCGGACGTGCAAGTGATGTAGGAATCAGGGGATTTTCAGTTTCTGCATCGGGGTACTTTCATGGGCCCTTAATGCCCTCTTTAAAGGGTTCTGATGCATTT